TTTCCTTGATGGCCAAAAAGCTAAATTTTTGTCTCATCAGACCAGAGTAACTTCTTTCATATGTTTGGGGAGTCTCCCACATGGCTTTTGGCGAACACCAAACGCGTTTGCTTATTTTTTTCTTTAAGCGATGGCTTTTTTCTGGCCACTCTTCCATTAAAGCTCAGCTCTGTGGAGTGTACGGCTTAAAGTGTTCCTATGGATAGATACTCCAATCTGTGGAGCTTTGCAGCTCCTTCAGGGTTATCTTTGGTCTCTTTGTTGCCTCTCTAATTAATGCCCTCCTTGCTGGTCCGTGAGTTTTGGTGGGCGGCCCTCCCTTGGCAGGTTTGTTGTGGTGCCATATTCTTTCAATTTTTTAATAATGGATTTAATGGTGCTCTGTGGGATGTTCAAAGTTTCTGATATTTTTTTATAACCCAACCCTGATCTGTACTTCTCCACAACTTTGTCCCTGACCTGTTTGGAGAGCTCCTTGGTCTTCATGGTGTTGCTTGCTTGGTGGTGCCCCTTGCTTAGTGGTGTTGCAGACTCTGGGGCCTTTCAGAACAGGTGTATATATACTGAGATCATGTGACACTTAGATTGCACACAGGTGGACTTTATTTAACTAATTATGTGACTTCTGAAGGTAATTGGTTGCACCAGATCTTATTCAGGTGCTTCATAGCAAAGGGGGTGAATACATATGCAAGCACCACTTTTCCGTAATCTATTTTTTTCAAATTTTTTGAAACAATTAATTTTTTTCATTTCACTTCACCAATTTAGACTATTTTGTGTATGTCCATTACATTAAATCCAAATAAAAATCCATTTAAATTGCAGGTTGTAATGCAACAAAATAGGAAAAATGCCAAGGGGGATGAATACTTTTGCAAGGCATTGTACAGTGAGGGAAAAAAGTATTTGATCCCCTGCTGATTTTGTACGTTTGCCCATAATTTGTCTATAATTTTAATGGTAGGTTTATTTGAACAGTGAGAGACAGAATAACAACAAAAACATCCAGAAAAACGCACATCAAAAATGTTATAAATTGATTAGCATTTTAATGAGGGAAATAAGTATTTGACCCCCTCTCAATCAGAAAGATTTCTGGCTCCCAGATGTCTTTTATACAGGTAACGAGCTGAGATTAGGAGCACACTCTTAAAGGGAGTGCTCCTAAGCTCAGTTTGTTACCTGTATAAAAGACACCTGTCCACAGAAGCAATCAATCAATCAGATTCCAAACTCTCCACCATGGCCAAGACCAAAGAGCTCTCCAAGGATGTCAGGGACAAGATTGTAGACCTACACAAGGCTGGAATGGGCTACAAGACCATCGCCAAGCATCTTGGTGAGAAGGTGACAACAGTTGGTGCGATTATTCACAAATGGAAGAAACACAAAATAACTGTCAATCTCCCTCTGCCTGGGGCTCCATGCAAGATCTCACCTCGTGGAGTTGCAATGATCATGAGAACGGTGAGGAATCAGCCCAGAACTACACGGGAGGATCTTGTCAATGATCTCAAGGCAGCTGGGACCATAGTCACCAAGAAAACAACTGGTAACACACTACACTGTGAAGGACTGAAATCCTGCAGCGCCCGCAATGTCCCGCTGCTTAAGGAAGCACATATACAGTGGGGAGAACAAGTATTTGAAACACTGCCGATTTTGCAGGTTTTCCTACTTACAAAGCATGTAGAGGTCTGTCATTTTTATCATAGGTACACTTCAACTGTGAGAGACGGAATCTAAAACAAAAATCCAGAAAATCACATTGTATGATTTTTAAGTAATTAATTTGCATTTTATTGCATGACATAAGTATTTGATACATCAGAAAAGCAGAACTTAATATTTGGTACAGAAACCTTTGTTTGCAATTACAGAGATCATACGTTTCCTGTAGGTCTTGACCAGGTTTGCACACACTGCAGCAGGGATTTTGGCCCACTCCTCCATACAGACCTTCTCCAGATCCTTCAGGTTTTGGGGCTGTCGCTGGGCAATACGGACTATCAGCTCCCTCCAACGATTTTCTATTGGGTTCAGGTCTGGAGACTGGCCAGGCCACTCCAGGACCTTGAGATGCTTCTTACGGAGCCACTCCTTAGTTGCCCTGGCTGTGTGTTTCAGGTCGTTGTCATGCTGGAAGACCCAGCCACGACCCATCTTCAATGCTCTTACTGAGGGAAGGAGGTTGTTGGCCAAGATCTTGCGATACATGGCCCCATCCATCCTCCCCTCAATACGGTGCAGTCGTCCTGTCCCCTTTGCAGAAAAGCATCCCCAAATAATGATGTTTCCACCTCCATGCTTCACGGTTGGGATGGTGTTCTTGGGGTTGTACTCATCCTTCTTCTTCTTCCAAACACGGCGAGTGGAGTTTAGTCCAAAAAGCTCTATTTTTGTCTCATCAGACCACATGACCTTCTCCCATTCCTCCTCTGGATCATCCAGATGGTCATTGGCAAACTTCAGACGGGCTGGACATGCGCTGGCTTGAGCAGGGGGACCTTGCATGCACTGCAGGATTTTAATCCATGACGGCGTAGTGTGTTACTAATGGTTTTTTTTTGAGACTGTGGTCCCAGCTCTCTTCAGGTCATTGACCAGGTCCTGCCGTGTAGTTCTGGGCTGATCCCTCACCTTCCTCATGATCATTGATGCCCCACGAGGTGAGATCTTGCATGGAGCCCCAGACCGAGGGTGATTGACCATCATCTTGAACTTCTTCCATTTTCTAATAGTTGCGCCAACAGTTGTTGCCTTCTCACCAAGCTGCTTGCCTATTGTCCTGTAGCCCATCCCAGCCTTGTGCAGGTCTACAATTGTATCCCTGATGTCCTTACACAGCTCTCTGGTCTTGGCCATTGTGGAGAGGTTGGAGTCTGTTTGATTGAGTGTGTGGACGGGTGTCTTTTATACAGGTAACGAGTTCAAACAGGTGCAGTTAATACAGGTAATGAGTGGAGAACAGGAGTGCTTCTTAAAGAAAAACTAACAGGTCTGTGAGAGCCGGAATTCTTACTGGTTGGTAGGTGATCAAATACTTATGTAATGCAATAAAATGCAAATTAATTACTTAAAAATCATACAATGTGATTTTCTGGATTTTTGTTTTAGATTCCGTCTCTCACAGTTGAAGTGTACCTATGATAAATATTACAGACCTCTACATGCTTTGTAAGTAGGAAAACCTGCAAAATCGGCAGTGTATCAAATACTTGTTCTCCCCACTGTACATGCCCGTCTGAAGTTTGCCAATGAACATCTGAATGATTCAGAGGAGAACTGGGTGAAAGTGTTGTGGTCAGATGAGACCAAAATGGAGCTCTTTGGCATCAACTCAACTTGCCGTGTTTGGAGGAGGAGGAATGCTGCCTATGACCCCAAGAACACCATCCCCACCGTCAAACATGGAGGTGGAAACATTATGCTTTGGGGGTGTTTTTCTGCTAAGGGGATAGGACAACTTCACCACATCAAAGGGACGATGGACTGGGCCATGTACCGTCAAATCTTGGGTGAGAACCTCCTTCCCTCAGCTAGGGCATTGAAAATGGGTCGTGGATGGGTATTCCAGCATGACAATGACCCAAAACACACGGCCAAGGCAACAAAGTAGTGGCTCAAGAAGAAGCACATTAAGGTCCTGGAGTGGCCTAGCCAGTCTCCAGACCTTAATCCCATAGAAAATCTGTGGAGGGAGCTGAGTTGCTAAACGTCAGCCTCGAAACCTTAATGACTTGGAGAAGATCTGCAAAGAGGAGTGGGACAAAATCCCTCCTGAGATGTGTGCAAACCTGGTGGCCAACTACAAGAAATGTCTGACCTCTGTGATTGCCAACAAGGGTTTTGCCACCAAGTACTAAGTAATGTTTTGCAGAGGGGTCAAATACTTATTTCCCTCATTAAAATGCAAATAAATTTATAACATTTTTGACATGCGTTTTTCTGGATTTTTTTGTTGTTATTCTGTCTCTCACTGTTCAAATAAACCTACCATTAAAATTATAGACTGATCATGTCTTTGTCAGTGGGTAAACGTACAAAATCAGCAAGGGATCAAATAGTTTTTTCCCTCACTGTATGTGTCAAACAAGAACCACTTCTATGCTTTAAGGTAGCCTATTCTTTAATAGATTGGTGAATGTAATTAGGCATGATTACAAATATTTATTAATATTTTTTAATATTATTTATATTTTAATCAGTAAAATAGAGTGAAGGACTTGTACCCCATTGGCTCTATATTGCATAAACTCTTTGGGGAATAATATTATGTTTTGATTGATTTATTGATATATTGTCAATATGCAATTTTTCTAATGTGCTCATCGATAAGAGCCAGCCCATGATAGGAAATATCCTCATATGGATGATTGACATGGGTCATTGATTGACGTCACCCAACTCCAGATGTCTTATCTTGGTGTCATCTCATTGCCCTCAGCACTTCCTTCTCTCCTCTTTCTACAGGAGCTAACCCAACCTATCTGATTTCACATTCCAAAATCTTAATCTTCTTTAGGATGGGATCCTCTTTAACAAACTTGACGTTTTCAATAGGATCCACGATATTCCTTTTTTATCCCATCACTCAATTGCCCAAATTCTTGTTTTGAGGTCCACAACCAGATTTACCCCGCTGGCGCCATTCAACTTCAAAGTGCAAGCATACTTTCTTAATAAGGGAGCATCTTCTTGCAGTTTGTTTGGCAATAAAAGCCCGCTCTATTGAACTGGCACAATATAAAAAGGTTACATCTGAACATCATTATTACGAAAATTGTAACCTACTAAAAATGTATGTAACCTAGCTTACAAAAAGCCATATTATATAATGTAATAGTAATAGATCTAGCGTCTACATATTTCAGTAGGCTATTTTACGTTAATATACAGTCAAAATTCTAGATTCTTCCACCAATGCTCGAGAAGAAGGAACAGGCACCTGGGTGGAGTGTGCTCTTTGGTTCCATGGTCTTTGGTTCCATGGTGGGATTCTTGCTATTCATTACCACCCAGGGCGCGCTCGGCGTGCTTACGCCAAGCAAGACATGAGCCAAAGAAGGGAGTGAGCCGACCAGATTGAATCAACCTCTGAATGATTGAGAGAGCGAGAGAGAGAGAGGGAGGAGGCAGAGGGAGCAAACAGAGAGCACCAAGTAACAGTGCCCAACCTGAGAGACAAAACGCAGAGGAAAATCAGAAGAGCTGCAAACAGTTTATTTTATGGGTCTGCAGAGAACAAAATAATAACGTTGTCTATCTTTTTTCTGTAACTATCGACTGCTATAACAAACAATTACAGAAATGGACCAAAAAATTGCAGACTTCTCTGGGATGTGGAAAATGAAGACTTCTGAAAACTTTGAAGAACTACTGAAAGCGTTGGGTGAGTATTTTCACGTAGCCACGGGAAGTAGGGGTGCTGATGGTGCTGCAGCACCCCCTGAAAAATCAGAATTAGGTCTAAAAATATATATTAATAAAAACAAAATGTGTTTTTCACAAAAGTAGTGCACTGCGCCTTTTACTAGTATTAGCAGACCGATAAATAAAAAAATGATCTGCATCTCGCTTTGGCAAAAAAGGTAGTTGTATAATTAAGAACAGTATCTTGCAGGATTCAACAGTTGGAATTGTAAGAGTTGTTGCCCTGTCCCTTTCTCTGCGATTATCATTGTAATGGAATCTAGAGAGAACAAAACCCTGTCCTCAAACATTTACATCAAAAGGTGCAAAGTTATGGGCAAAGACACAAAACATCCACATCCAATAAAATATTTTTCTTGACCAAATAACATGGAAAACAACCACTTTTTGTGCAGTATTAAATTTACCATCTTTAGAAACCACTTAATGTAAATGTACATTACTGTATTGTATATAGGCTGGTCATCTAGGTTTGTACCTGTATACTTTCCATCGCCATGAAGAAAAACACTGCACAATACAGTAACTGAGTACATAGAGACATTAGTGGTTTGTGATGATGTGATGATGTGGCTCAGTTGGTAGAGCATGGCGTTTGCAATGCTAGGATTGTGGGTCCCATGGGGTCCAGTACGAAAAAGTATAAAAAATGTATGCACTCACTACTCTAAGTTGCTCTGGATAAGAGCGTCTACTGAAAAGGAATGAATCGACCATTTCAGTTTTCACATAGAAATAAGTTGCATTTGCAAAGTATTTCAAGAAAATTGAAAACATATATCAAGCAAGTATTTTTATATTCCACAAGTACTATCAGATTAACTGTTTTGTACAGATAATTATCAGACTCAAGTTACAAATGCTGGTAAACACTCAAATACATTTAGTTTAAAAAAAGTATTTTCATACTATTTGAACATGGACAGAGCCTTTTGGTTATTACAACTAACATTCAAATGTCTTAATGCAACCTATCTAGAAATATTTTTGTAGTAGACATGTCTGTAAATATAGACTCTTTGATGTAGACTCAGATCATCATAAATTCTGCAAATCACTGTTGCACTTATTTATGCATTTGCAATTACCTTTTTTCAATCTATGGAGTCTTTGTCAGGGATATGTCAAGAATGTGTCAGAAATGTGGCAAAAAGGAGCAAACACACGAAAAGACCAAAGCATCCTGAGCAGCATCCCACTCTGGGCTATGGGGTGAAATGTTAAACCAGCTTGGTCTGTGGCCACATATACCACTCAAGTGTTTATACTCCTCTATGCACATGTTTGGTTTTATGGGGAATTAATTAATTATTATTTCCAATAATGTTCTTGCTTGATTTATTGTTTTAAAAGTCCTTTGTTATCCTTTTTGAAGCACCCATCCAGCTACACACCCAGTCACCTTCACACACACACACACACACACACACACACACACACACACACACACACACACACACACACACACACACACACACACACACACACACACACACACACACACACACACACACACACACACACACAGAAAGGCCAAAGGATGGCCAGTCAGTGGCATCCATTAAAATATAAAGACAAATAGCCCGTGGAGGAATGTTATATTTTCCCTCATTTCAAACCAAGTCCTCGTGAGATTGTAATTAAAGCCAGTGTAAATGGAACTAAACCTTAAAATGGGCCCCCTCAGTCAGCCGGTACTGAGACTGACATTCCCCCAGTACCCTGGGACTCCTCAACTAACTCGCTCCAGGGGTTTCTCTGTGGGCAACAGCAATATTTCCCTCCAAATAGCAATTTCGCTCCAATGAGAAGGTTTGTCTGATTTTTATTTAGGGATAAGAATGTTACTTTGAATAGGCGAGAGGAATGAAAGTCAGTCTGATGTAACATCCTGTTATCTGCATGTCAGGTCTACGCTAATCATCCCTTGAAGTTGAATGAATGAGAGCTCTGTCTGAGATCAAACCCTCCCTCTCCTCTGATGTCTTTCCCACTACCCATAAATCAATGGCTATGAATGATGGCTGTGATATGGCTTTTCAACACAATGGATGCAACCCAAATGGAACCGTATTCCCTATATAATGCATTACTTTTCAAAAGCCCCATAGGGCCCTGGTCAAAAGTAGTGCACTATGTAGTGAATAGGGTGCCATTTAGGACACATCCAATGTCTCCATTCTCAATCTACTCCTGTGACACCTTATTGATCCCCTATGACCAGGTGTGAACGTGTTTGTCAGGAAGATAGCCGTGGCTGCAGCCTCCAGACCTGCAATAGAGATCACCCAGCAGGGAGAGAGCCTCTCCATCCAGACCTCCACCAGCATACGCACCACCCATGTCTCCTTCACCGTGGGCCAGTCCTTCATTGAGGACACAGTGGACGGACGCCCCTGCACAGTAACACTCCATTGAAACACTCTTCATCTCTACATATGTTGCATGAAATATTTTTGTTATTACTGTACGTGCATATTTTGCCAGGACTCAGTGTATGAAATCAGGGGTCTGTATAAGCATGTGGAAAAAAATCAGTGTGTAACTTGATAGTTGTTCTTGGTGATGGTTTAGTATTCTCATTTTCTTTATGGTTTGTGGAGGGCAGCAACATAACGCCTAACAGACTTGAAGAAGCAGTAACATGCCGCAACAGTACTGAGTTCCAATGCTGGAAAACTCTCAGTTTGTTATTTTTGATTAAAACAAAAAAACTATTCATAAATACGAATACAGAACTTGTTTTTGCGTGGATTCCACGATGCGGTTAGCTTTTAACAGCTAGGACCGCTATTTCTTCTCCTGGAATCCCGCTTAAGAGACAGGTTGAAGCCTGCTTGACAGAGACGCTAAGCTGCTAGCCATCAAGCTAACGAAGTTGCTTAAAAAATGTAAAGTGGTTATCCCACTGGCTATAGGGTGAATGCACCAATTTGTAAGTCACTCTGGATAAGAGCGTCTGCTAAATGACGTAAATGTAAATGTAAATGTATGTATGCGGATGACTCAACACTATACACGTCAGCTACTACAGCAACTGAAATAACTGCAACACTTAACAAAGAGTTGCAGTTAGTTTCGGAATGGGTGGCAAGGAATAAGTTAGACCTGAATACTTCCAAAACTAAAAGCATTGTATTTGGGTCAAATCATTCACTAAACCCTAAACCTCAACTACATCTCGTAATGAATAATGTGGAAATTGAGCAAGTTGAGGTGACTAAACTGCTTGGAGTAACCCTGGATTGTAGACTGTCATGGTCAAAGCATAGCTAAGATGGGGAGAAGTATGTCCATAATTAAGCGCTGCTCTGCCTTCTTAACAACACTATCAACAAGGCAGGTCCTACAGGCCCTAGTTTTGTCGCACCTAGACTACTGTTCAGTAGTGTGGTCAGGTGCCACAAAGAGGGACTTGGGAAAATTGCAGTTGGCTCAGAACAGGGCAGCATGGCTGGCCCTTTAAAGTACATGGAGAGCTAACATTAATGACATGCATGTCAGTCTCTCCTGGCTCAGAGTGGAAGAGAGATTGACTTCATCACTGCTTGTTTTTGTAAGAGGTGTCGACAAGCTGAATGTACCGAGCTGTCTGTTTGGAATACTGGCACACAGCTCGGACAGCCATGCATACCCCACAAGACATGCCACCAGAGGTCTCTTCACAGTCCCCAAGTCCAGAACAGACTATGGGAGGCGCACAGTACTACATAGAGCCATGACTACATGGAACTCTATTCCACATCAGGTAACTGATGCAGTAGAATCAGATTTTAAAAACTGGTAAAAATACACCTTATGGAACAATGGGGACTGTGAAGAGACACACACAAGGGTATAGACACATGCATACATTTGACATTTTAGTCATTTAGCAGACGCTCTTATCCAGAGCGACTTACAGTTAGTGAGTGCATACATTTTCATACTGGCCCCCCTTGGGAAACGAACCCACAACCCTGGCGTTGCAAGCGCCATGCTCTACCAACTGAGCTACACGGGGCCTACGCACACATATGCACACATTGTGATATTGTTGTATGGTGGTATTAAACATTTTGTATTGTAGATAGGTAGTGGCGTAATAATGTCATATGATGTACTGTTTTATATTTTGTTTGATATGTAATGTAAGTGCTTTAATATGTTTGGACCCCAGGAAGAGTAGCTGCTGCCTTGGCAACAGCTAATGGGGATCCCTAATAAATATAAATACAAATGAGAAGCCTCAGGTCACACACAGATCTACTGTGTCTTTCTATCTAACCACTTCACTGTAACATGCAGGGTCACTTATTCAATCCTTGCATGGCCTACTTCCTATGTCCTCCAGAGTACCCCTCGCTGGGAGACAAATAGCAAGATCAGCTGTGAGCAGACTTTGCAGAAAGGGGAGGGCCCTAAGACTGCCTGGACCCGTGAAGTGACCAATGATGGTGAACTGATTTTGGTAAAGCATACATTTTTATTGCCTACAAACGGTGATCCTATTCCTGTATTGACATGTTCAGCTTTAACTGTGTTTGGGGGAAAAATATGTGTTGATTTATCTGAGTTGTGAATTCATTTTGTTGTCATTTCTTTTCAGACAATGAGCGCTGGAGATGTCGTGTGCACCAGAGTGTATCAACGAGAATGAAATACTTTCAAGACTGTCAAACATGTAATTTTGTGTAACGTTTTTCAAATATTTTATTTCTACCTGTTCCGTTTGCTTATTTAATCTTCCAGTCATTCAGATTGTGGTTAACAAGACGTCAGTTGTGTGTGTTTTGTCAGACAGAGTTTGACTGTTGTGAAAGCCTTGTGCCAGTTTATTTTCCTGTATAATGTTCTCGTATTAGCTTGTAATGGTTTTGTAATGTTATCATTGTTCCTCCACAACTAAAGCTGTATTTATTCTCAGTATACCGCATGAAAACCCTATCTGTATTTTTCTTCAAAATGTCTTATCAAAGCAACTGTAAACCATCCTCATCAAACAAACTGTGTTGTTAAAACAATTATAAATTGATCATGTATTTACAAAACCTGATTTTATTAGCTTTGTGAAACTGATTTAAACCAAGACCTTGTCCATCATCGCTGTTCTGACTTTCTCGCTCCATACTACCTCCTTCCTACTTCTCCTCTTCCCCTGCCTAAGATCTTTGTATGCATCCCTCCCTTGTTTTTCCTCCCTCCCTGCAACTTGCCCTCTCCTTCTCTCCTCCACACCCTTTCCTCTCCATCCTCCTCCTTGTCCTCTATGTGCTCTCTTTCCTCATCCCTCACCATTTGTCCATTTAGAATTTTAAAACTCCCAAAGAGAATCCATATTTTATGTACACCACTGTGTCTGAAAGACATTTGGCAAGAACAAGGGGAAAAACTGGGAGTGGTAGGGAAAGAGTGAGGGACCATAAGAAAATAATTTCATATTGAGAACAGTACTATTCCCTCCGCTTTCCTTCCCAGCTGTACCTAATTACAGTATGAGCTCACTAAAAGGTTCCCCACCCCCTCTTCCCTGGACTCGGCCCGCACCCAGTTACAAAGGCTAAAATGACTGCCTCTGATTTGTGTGCGGACACTTGTAGCTGCTCTCCCACTCACCTCTGAACTGGACAGCCAAAATAAAAAAGTCACACCTACATTAACACTCATACTTGGGAGGACGGATCAGTTGTTAGAAAATAATGGATTGAAGAATGGATTGAACATACCCCAGAATCCAGCTTGCTGTGAAATACAGTGCAGGGTCTCTCATGCACTTCCTGAGGAGAGAGAGCACTTACTCGATCCATAGGAAGTTTTGTTTTTTCCAGATTAGCAGACGGTGTGCCAAGGGTCCCAAATGGCATCCTATTGCCTTTATAGGGCTCTGGTCAAAAGTAGTGCACTATGTAGGGAATAGAGTGCCATTTTGGATGCAACAAGCCCTCCGAGATCCTCCTCAGGTTTACTCACTCTGTGCTGAGCCAGCATCAGGCCTCCTGGGCCTCCTGGGCCTAATTTCTCCAGACTGTGCTCTCTCAATAAACTCACAGGGTAAGTTAGTGAGTGAATGAATGAAAGTGAGTGTGGGTTATGTAACCTCATGTGCATAGCTCCCATTTCACACAGAGTTCAGCCAAAAGTGTTCATCCATATTGTAACTGTATATGTGTTTATGTATTTTTTTTAAACACAGTCCTTCTGCTCTGGTCTGAAATTGAACTGAACTATGGAAAATCTGAGGATGTTTGCTCAATAAAGCTCCACAAGGTCACAGAGAGACACACATGTCTAATTCGTATTGAATGTCAACTAAATGATAAATGATTGTTGTGTTTATAGGGACAGGTAAAACCATAGAAAGTGCCCAGTTCACTCAATCTCTCTTCGTTACCAAGGTCACTTTCCACACAGCGATTGTGTCAGCTCATTCCATAGGCTATGATGTCATGGGGCCACACATCGCTTGATTGAATGCAGTGGTTTTAGGACCAGGTGGGAGGCACCCGACTCCAAGGCTGCGTCCCAAATAGCACTCTATTCCCTATTTAGCGCACTACTTTTGACCAAGGTCCATAGGCTCTGGTCAAAAGTAATGCACCATATAGGGAGTAGGGTGCCATTTGGGACAGGCGCCAACTCTAGACAAGCCACCTGGACGACTCATACCGACTATTAAAAATGAATCACTACGGACAAACACAGATGTCACTGGACATAAACATGGGAGCAGACTCAAACAAACAATTACAGATCCAACGCTGCAATGTCTTTGTTCACCTATTCCCCAAACCCACTATTCCATGTTGGTTCAACGTCATTTCATTGAAATTACTTTGAAACAATGTTGATTCAACCAGTGTGTGCCCAGTGGGAACCCTTCTGGGCCCTGGTCAAAAGTAGTGTACTAAATAGGGAATCGGGCAGTAGCGGTGAGTGGGTAAAATCACTGGTGAAGCCAAGCCAGAAAAAAAGCCATATTACAACCTATGTGTTGTGATAATTGTGTTGTTTGCTCTATAACCTGTTAGTTCATATGCCTTGACATCGTGATATATAGGCCTAAGTCCGAGACAATAAGAAGACATAGTGGCAGAATAAATTCAACCACACCTTTGTTTCATCACAAAACCGGAGAGCAACATCTGTCCGATGAAGTCCACAAAACATATTGCATGTAACGAACAGTTACATGACCTACAGCATGGTCAAGCAAGTTAATGTTTCCGACATTTTCGGACTACTAAACAACTATTGATTTAGAACCAAGGAGAGTTAACGCAAGTCACACCATTTCAACATAATCTAATCACCTATGCTTAGTCTAATACAGTGACAACTAAAAGATACCAAAAACGATTTAGTCCAATCAGCGTAAGCTAAATATGATGTGGTTGTCCATGGTACTGATTTATGTGTGTGTGTGTGTGTGTGTGTGTGTGCGTGCAAGTAGAAAAAACATGTTGACTCACCCTACTTGTAGAGAAACGCCAATGTCATCCTCCTCTTTCATGTTGCCTAAATGGTCTATGACTCTGTCATACACGCTTTTAGTTTTTGTTGTCTTAGGCTACCTGGCTAAAATGCTAGCTCGCTAGCCTATCTTCCTTTTATGGGCAACTAGTTAACAGGCCAGCTAGTTAACATTAGCCTAATTGTATTACATCTAGCTACATGTTGAACTTCCATCCTCACAGGCCAGGGGCAAAATGTATGACTTTATGGTTGGATCAAAATCGCCATTATAATCATTGGCCAGTGCGGAGAATTAAGTAAAACCACAAGTCCAAATCCCTATCTCCATCCATGGCTAATTTAGGAAAGGGACGATTTTAGCTAGCTAGCTAGCCACCGGAGGACAACGACACAATGGGATGCAAAGATTCAATTTTTTTCTGTCAATGACATTTGGTTTCTAATGTGATGGGATTGGTCTGAAGCCAAATCCAAACTGGCTTCCTTTGACTTTTATTTGGTGCGCCAGGACCATTCACAGCTGAACTCACTCAGTTTAGATCGACGCTGATTGGCTATTATTTTATATATTTTTTATCAAGGGAGGCCAAATGCTCGCTGGCTTCCCTTGCATTCAATGTTACGGGCAGCAACAATGACATACTCTTTTTGACCAGCAGCATGGGCTACACACACACAGAGACAGAGGGGTGCTGTTTCGTTCGCTTGGATGCTTTCTCCAGTGAGATATAGTGCATTCGGAAAGTATTCAGACCCCTTTACTTTTTCCACATTTTGTTACATTACAGCCTTATTCTATTGATGAAATAGTTGTTCCCCTCATCAATTTACACACAATACCCCCATAAGGACAAAGCAAAAACAGAATATATATATATAAAAACAACGGATATAGCACATTTACATAAGTATTCAGACCCTTTACTCAGTACTTTGTTGAAGCACCTTTGGCAGTTTCTCCCATTCTTCTCTGTAGATCCTCTCAAGCTCTGTCAGGTTGGATGGGGTCATTGTCCTGTTGGAAGGTGAACATTTGCCCCAGTCTGAGGTCCTGAGCGCTGTGGAGCAGGTTTTCATCAAGAAAGTCAATGTACTTTGCTCCGTTCGTCTTTCCCTTGATCCTGACTAGTCTCCCAGTCCCTGCCGCTGAAAAACATCCCCACAGCATGATGCTGCCACGACCATGCTTCACCGTATGGATGGTGCCAGGTTTCCACCAGATGTGATGCTTGGCATTCAGGCCAAAGAGTTCAATCTTGGTTTCATCAGACCAGAGAATCTTGTTTCACATGGTCTGAGAGTCCTTTAGGTGCCTTTTGGCAAACTCCAAGCGGGCTGTCATGTGCCTTTTACTGAGGAGTGGCTTCCGTCTGGCCACTCTACCAAAAAGGCCTGATTGGTGGAGTGCTGCAGAGATGGTTGTCCTTCTGGAAGGTTCTCCCATCTCCACAGAGGAACTCTGGAGCTCTGTCAGAGTGACCATCGGGTTCTTGGTCACCTCCCTGACCAAGGCCCTTCTCCCTAATTGCTCAGTTTGGCAGGGCGGCCAGCTCTAGGAAGAGTCTTGGTGGTTCCAAACTTCCTTAAGAATGATGGAGGCCACTGTGTTCTTGGGGACCTTCAATGCTGCAGAAATGTTTTGGTACCCTTCCCCAGATCAGTGCCTCGACACAATCCTGTCTCGGAGCTCTACGGACAATTCCTTCGACCTCATGGCTTGGTTTTTGCTCTGACATGCACTGTCAACTGTGGGACCTTATATAGACAGGTGTGTGCCTTTCCAAATCATGTCCAATCAATTGAATTTAACACAGGTGGACTCCAATCAAGTTGTAGAAACATCTCAAAGATGATCAATGGAAACAGAATGCACCTGAGCTCAATTTTGAGTTTCATCGCAAAGGGTCTGAATACTTATGTAAATAAGGTATTTCTGTTTTTTATTGTTAATACATTTGCTAAAATGTATACAAACCTGTTTTCACTTTGTCATTATGGGGTTTTGTGTGTAGATTGATAAGGAAAATGTTTTATTTAATCAATTTTAGAATAAGGCTGTAACGTAACAAATACTTTCTGAATACTTTCCAAATGCACAGATACATGCAAGGCTGTTCAGCCTCTTGCGAATTGAAGGAAGTTTATGAAACACAGAGAGACGAAAGATACATTATTTTGTATGTTTTATTCTTTTTTTCTTGGTAAATTCTTGGGAGAAGCCTGACTTCCCTTGGCATCCATGAACACACGCCACTGGAATAGGGTGTCATTTGGGACACAGCCTATGAGATCTTTGCTAGCATTTCTAGTGCTGCTGCCACCATACATCATTTAGTGGAACAGCCTTGCATGTATCTGTGCAATGTCTTGCATTTCTACTGTGCAAGGTCTTATGCGTCTATCTTTATGTTAAGTGGAAATTAATGTGTGTGTGTGTGTGTGTGTCTTGTGCTATCATATGACTGCCCTCCTGTCTCCCATGTGACCCCACACGACTGGAGGGGAGAGAGCAGGGAGCGAAGGGGAACTAATGGGATTGACGGAAAGACAAAGGTACCATGAAAGAAAAGAGAGCTAGTCAAGCAAGAAGAAAATACATGAAAATGAGAGAAAATTAGAGATACTGAAGTTAAGGGGGAAGAATAGCATGTGTACACAACCTCTAATTTTTTTCATAGTCTTGTTCTTGAGGGCTGTGAAAAATATAACTGTCAAGGACAACATCCCAGTGGGCACAAACTGTTTAAATAAACATTGTTTCAACGTAATTTGTCATCGTATTGTGACGTGGAATCTACATGGAAAAATACATTGGATTTGGAAAAAGTATTTGTTTTGAGGGTAAAATGTCAATCATAAATGCAACCATTCAAAGATGTTACTGAGCTACAGTTCATATAAAGAAATCAGTCATTTGAAATATATTCATTAGGCCCTAATCTATGGATTTCACATGACTGGGAATACAGATATGCATCTGTTGGTTATAGATACCTTTTATTTTTAAGTAAGGGCGTGGATCAGAATACCAGTCAGTATCTGGTGTGACCATTTGCCTCATGCAGCGCGACACATCTCCTTCGCATAGAGTTGATCAGGCTGTTGAATGTGGCCTGTGGAATGTTGTCTCACTCCTCTTCAATGGCTGTGCGAAGTTGCTGGATATTGGCGGGAACTGGAACACGCTGTAGTACACGTCAATCCAGAGCATCCCAAACATGCTTAATGGGTGACATGTCTGGTGAGTATGCTGGCCATGGAAGAACAGGAATTGTGTACAGATCCTTGCGACATGGGGCCGTGCATTCTCATGCTGAAACAGGCGGCAGATGAATGGCATGACAATGGGCCTCAGAATCTCATCACGGTATCTCTGTGCATTCAAATTGCCATCGATAAAATGCAATTGTGTTCGTTGTCCG